TGGTCTTGAACTCCTGACCTCAGGGGATCTGCCCACCTCGGCCTCCCAAAGAGCTGGGATTACTTGCGTGAGCCACTGCGCCTGGCCACATATGTGGTTCTTAAGCACAGTATGTATGATTATTTTAAATCATGTATGATTAATTAATTAATTTATTTATTTATTGAGACTGAGTCTTGCTGTCACCCAGGCTGGAGTGCAGCCGTGTGATCTCAGCTCACTGCAACCCTGCCTTCCGGGTTCAAGTGATTCTCCTGCCTCAGGCTCCCGAATAGCGGGGACTACACGCGCACGCCACCATGCCTAGCTAATTTTTTGTATTTTAGTAGAGACACGGTTGCACCATGTTGCCCAGGTTGGTCTCAAACTCCTGAGCTCAGACAATCCACCCGCCTCAGCCTCCCAAAGTGCTAGGATTACAGGCGTGAGCCACCGCGCCCGGCCGTATGATTATCTTATATTGAATAATTTTCCTTGTGCATATGTATTTTCTCAATTACATTGTAAGCTCTTTATGGGTAGAGGCAATATACTGTGCTGCTTTTCATGAACCACAGCACAGAGTACAAGCCGAGCGTTTTGTTGAATGAATGAATAAAAGCCCTATTCATGAGTCTCCTCATTATGGTAATCTGAAGATGAAGTATTACTTTTGCTTTAAAAAAAACTTGTATCACAGAGGGTAATGATATGCCTACTAATTTTATAGCAAATTATGCCTGAATATATCCTCTGTTCCTTTTCCAAAATAGCTAGACCACCATAGACAATGAATAGAAAATGCTACTAACAGAGAAAGACTGCTGCAAGATCTAGACATTTAACATGAAATTCCCTTGCAGATTTGACCGCCACTGCATGTAGTTTGTGTGCTTCCGAAGTTACTTCTTCCATAGTTTCTGACAAGTCAGTAGGATCTCATGGATCCTGTTTTTAATCTCATACGATCAAGAAAACATCATTTATCCCTTAATTCCTTTATTCTATGAATCATTTCTCCACTCCACTGTCCATGCTTACTGAACAGATATATGCCAGACATTGTTCTAGATATAAAGAATTTTAAGTTGAGTAAGACATTTTCTTTCCATGAAAAATTTTTAGTTTAGGAGGGAAAGCAAAATGTAACTAAGATAAATGCAAATAAAGTGTGAACACTATAAACAGGTCTAGTTGGGGGACCCCAAACTATAGCTTCTTGTGGAATGCAGGTACCATTGCTTCCTATTTATAGAAAGTAAATATTGTCAGCATTAGGGCTGGATGGATAGTGCACTGTGTACAATCAAGTATTCTGTAGGGAATATAGAATATATGCATATCAACAATGTTCTCTTGGCTTTCAACCATGCACTCTGTAGCACATACCTGGATGTATTCTGTAAGAGAATTGAAAATCTGCTTGGTGACTGCCAGAGCTTTGGAGAAATTGTGCTGTCCGGATTCATCAATGATGTCCTTCCCTGAATAATACCAGTAGAAATCACTGATTGATTCCTAAAAACAAATGAGTAGAGCTTAGTATTTCTCAGACTTCAGTCAGTGAAGCTAAACTCGGTGTTTGGAAAGGGTACATGAGAATCCCGCATCTCTATGACCTCTTTGCTCTGACAGGAGCCAGAGACCCTGTGAAGACACGCAGAGATACTTGACCTCTAGAATCTTTCAAGCACAAATATCCCTCCAGAGGAAAGAACAGATAGGGGAGGACTGCCTTCAGCTGGAACTGGGAGACTATGAAATAGGATAATTTATTCAATGTGAAATATGTGAAGATAATGGTAATTATCCAAATAATCATAATAACAGCAACAACGTAACAGCTAACATTGTAAGTGCCAGACATTGTTCTGAGTGCATTACATATACGGGCATACATCAGAGATTCAGAGCTAATCTGAGTTTGATTACAGATAAACTACAGTAAAGTGAATATTACAATAAAGTGAGTTGTACAAAATGTTGATTTCTCAGTGCACATGAAAGTTATGTTTACAATATGCTGTAGTCTGTTAAGTGTGCAACAGCATTATATCTTTAAAACACAATGTACATGCCATCATTAAAAAATGCTTATGGCTAAAAAATGCTAACAATCATCTGAGCTCTCAGCAAGTTGTAAGTTCCACCATCTTTTTGCTGGTGAACAGCCTTGCCTTGATGTTGCTGGCCACTGACTGAACAGGGTGGTGGTTGCTGAAGGTTGAGGTGGCTGTGACAATTTCTTAAAATAAGACAATGTTAACTGCATCAATTGACTTCCTTTCATGAAAGATTTCTCTGTAGCATGTACTGTTTGATAGCATTTTACCCACAGAACTTCTTTCAAAATTGGAGCCAATCTTCTCAAATCCTGCCACTCCTTTATGAACTAAGTTTATGTAATATTTTAAATCCCTTTTGGCATTTCAACAATGTTTAGAGTGTTTTCACCAGCAAGATTCCATCTCAGGAAACCACTTTCTTTGCTCATCCATGAGAGGCAACTCTTCATTTGTCAAAGTTTGATCATGAGATTGCAGCAATTCAGGTTTATGTTCTTCAGGCTCCACTACTAATCCTAGTTCTCTTGCTATTTCCAACACATCTGCAGTTATTTCCTCCACTGAAGTCTTGAACCCCTCCAAATCATCTGCAAGGGTTGCAATCAACTTTTTCAACTCCTGTTAATGTTGATCTTTTGACCTTTTCCCACGAATCACAATATTTTTCTTTTTTCTTTTTTTTTTTTTTGAGATGCAGTCTTGCTCTGTCGCCCAGGCTGGAGTGCAGTGGTACGATCCTGGCTCACTGCAAGCTCCACCTCCTGGGTTCACGCCATTCTCCTGCCTCAGCCTCCTGAGTAGCTGGGACTACAGGCACCTGCCACCACGCCCGGCTAATTTTTTCTTGTATTTTTAGTAGAGACGGGGTTTCACCATGTTATTCAGGATGGTCTCGATCTCCTGACCTTGTGATCCGCCTGCCTCGGCCTCTCAAAGTGCTAGGATTACAGACGTGAGCCACTGCGCCTGGCCCACAGTGTTTTTTAATGACGTCTACAATGTTGAATCTTTTCCAGAAGGTTTTCAACTTACCTTGCCCAGATCCATCAGAGGAATCACTATCTATAGCAGCTGTAGCCTTACAAAATGCATTTCTTAAAAAATAAGACTTGCAAGTCAAAATTACTCCTTGATCCATGGGTTGCAGAATAAATGTTGTATTAGCAGGCATGAAAACAGGATTCATTTCCTTGTATACCTCCATCAGAGCTCTTGGAAACAGGTGCATGGTCAACGAACGGTAATATTTTGAAAGGAATCTTTTTTTTCTGAGCAGTAGGTGTCAAGAGTGGGCTTAAAATAGTAAACCGTGCTGTAAACGATGACAATCCAAGCTTTGTTCTTCCATACATAGAGCATGGGCAGAGTAGATTTACCATAATTCTTAAGGGCCCTAGAATTTCTGGAATGGTAAACAAGCAGTGGCTTCAACTTAAAGCTACCAGCTGGACTGCCCCGATAAGAAAGTCAGCCTGTCCTTTGAAGCCCTGAAGCGAGCTATTGGCTTGTCCTCTCTAACTATGAAAGTCCTAGATGGTATCCCTCTTCCAGGAGAAGGCTGTTTCATGTATGCGGGAAATCTGTTGTTTAGTGTGACCACCTTCATCAATTATCCTAGCTAGATCTTCTGGATAACTTGCTGCAGCTTCTACATCTGCACTTGCTGCTTTACCTTACACTTTTGTTATGGAGATGACTTCTTTCCCTAAACCTCATGAACCAAACTCTGCTAGCTTTAAACTGTTCTTAGGCAGCTTCCTCACCTCTCTCAGCCTTCACAGAATTGAAGAGAGTTAAAGCCCTGCTCTAGATTAGATTTTGGCCTACGAGAACGTTGTGGCTGGTTTGACCTTCTATCCAGACCACTCGCACTGTCCCCATTTCAGTAATAAGGGTGTTTTGCTATCTTATCATTCATATGTTCACTGAGGCAGCCCTTTTAATGTCCTTTTTCTTTGCATAGCTTGGCTGTTTAGTGCACGGGGCCTAGCTTTTGGCCTGTCTTAGCTTTCAACATGCCTTCCTTCCTAAGCTTAATCATTTCTAGCTTTTGATTTAAAGTGGGAGACATGTGACTCATCCTTTCACTCGAACACTCAGAGGCCATTGTAGGGTTATTAACTGACCGAACCTCAACACTGTTATGCCTCAGGGAACAAGCAGGCCTGAGGAGGAGGGGGAACAGTTGGTGGAGTGGTCAGAACACACGCAACATTGATTAAGTTTGCTGTCTTACATGGGCATATTTCATGGCACCCCAAAACAATTACGATAGTAACACCGAAGATCACTGATCACCTTACAAGTATAATAGTGAAAAGTCTGAAATATTGTGAGAATCATCAAAATGTGACAGAGACACCATGTCAGTACGTTCTGTTGGTAAAACGGCAGATAGACTTGCTTGATGCAGGGTTACCACAAACCTTCGATTTGTAAAACACACAGCATCTGTAAAGCACAATCAAATCAACTGCAATAAAATGAGGTATACCTGTATTCAAATGTACCACCCTATGGCACAGGTGCTACCCCTTTTACTGATGAAAAAACTGGAACACAGGCGCGTTAAATAGATTGCTCTAGGTTACAAACCAGTAAGTGGCAGAACCAGGATGAGGAATCAGCAAAAAGGAAAAAAAAAATCTCTTTTTGTTAATATGTTTGTATAGATTTTCTCAACATAATTTGGACTCCCTTGAAACAAACCATCTGACTTCTCAACACGAACTTTTAAACTCATCCTATTCCTATCATCTCGTGTAAGTCTTTTTTTCTAGTGAAATCTGCTCTCATTCACAGGTTATTTCAGAGCTTTTGGTTGTCTTATAGCTCTTGATTGTTTTATAGCACCACAGATCGGTTTTCACTGGCAAAACTAAAGTAAACCACCATTTTATAACAGATGATTTGGTGTTTAACCACATCTCCCCCTTCTGTCTTCAAATGTACTCTTTGGACGCTGGACTTCCCATGCATCTGTGGATATACATTACAACGCCTCCCTTATGGGGGTCTGACTGTATCCTGGGCTGTCCCTGACCCTGTGTAACTGTGTTTATCTTTTGGCAGCAAAGGTGAGAGGTCCCATTGTCCAAGGCCCTCCCACTCACCTGCAGACGCAGAAGGTAGTCCACAGTGCTGATGATGACATTCACGGTGGTGGTGTTACCCATCTGAGTCCGCAGGAAGTTCTGAAAGTCTGAGAGCACCAGTGCTGGGTCAGAGCTTGTCCCTGCCATGCCAAGGGGGCCAGGCATGCCCTCTCAGCTGAGCTCAGATAAGACAGTCTATGTGAAAAGGCTTACAAGAATACCATGTTTGGATCATGGCAGACCCTGTAGGGCAGAGCTCTGCTCTGAGCACCCCCCAACCTGCCGACACCAGAAACTGGACTTAATGAGCCCCAACGGGCTAGATGGAAAGGGCTGGGTATTTAGATTTCTCATCTAAAGATTCTGGAAGCAGCTTAGCCTTGGTGGCACTAAATATCACTAGCCATGATATTCACATAGTTTCTTATTGAGGAATGCATTAACTGATGTCCTGGAGTTAACAACTAGTTGCATCAAATGGGGGCCTACTGAATGGAATTTTAGTTTTGTCCCTGAGTGCTGTGTTTCCTTGGCAGATCAATCTGTTCCACTCACCACTGTTATGTCCCTCACAAAGTAACTGTAGGAATCTAAAGAGATCACGCGTGAACTCGTCATTCTGGAGTACTTTTTCACCTTGAAAACATAAAATGTTGATGAGCATCGGTTTGGCTTCTCAACAGAGAATACTTTCTAATGCAAGTGACTACACAGATGATAAAGGAGTTGTGTCAGAATGGTTTGAAAAAGGAACTCTGGATGAATGGTGAAAAGCCCGATTAAACTGAGCTGAGGCTGCAGAGCACAATGCTCAACAAATGCATTTGTAATGAAGACAACTGGGTAAGGAGAGTAAATGGCTCACGGTCCATAACCCATGCTTTACAGATGGAAGACACTTCCTTAATTAAGCACCAAACTGCTGAGTTCAACTCAACATGCAACCACCAAACCTAAAATGTTTCTGTGCTGAGGCAATTAAATGAGATCTCCTAGGATTCACACACATGGTAGGAACTCAGGCCAGAAACTGAAACTTACCACGTTCACGAACAATGACTGGTAATGAGAGAAAAATTGAAGAATACAAAGTAAGAAAACTGTAAACATCATGATAAACTGTCTTTAGTTAAAACTGGCTATGTGAACACATCTATCCTAGATGATAGCTTTATTAAAGCTACTTTTGGAAACATTTTGCTGAAACAGAGCAAGTCCCTGCATATTAAGCAGACATAAGCTCTGACCAGAAATAGGTAATTAAGACTTTAAACAGCTGGGTGCGGGGGCTCACGCCTGTAATTCCAGCACTATGGGAGGCCAAGGTGGGGTGGATCACCTGAGGTCAGGAGTTCAAGACCAGCCTGGCCAACATGATAAAACGCCACCTCTACTAAAAATACAAAAAATTCGCTGGGTATGGTGGCGGATGCCTGTAATCCCAGCTCTTCGGGAGGCTGAGGCAGGAGAATTGCCTGAACCCAGGAGACAGAGGTTGCAGTGAGCTGAGATCGCGCCACTGCAGTCCAGCCTGAGCAACAAGAGCGAAACTCTGCCTGGGGAAAAAAAAAAAAAAAAAGATTTTAATCAGGAAGAGAATGGCCTTCACATTTACTAGTTACTTACGTGTTCCTTCTTCAGTCACCATCCCCAGGCCTTCAGCTTTATTCTGCCTCTCAAATGCATTCAAATCAAGGACACTTTTAATAGACAGAAAGAAACAAGGTTCAGGGCTATGCACACTGGGAAAGCAGATTTCTAACGTTAGTGTATCTATTGACTAAGAATATCCTGCCCCTGTGTTATCATAAATAAACTAACACATTCCAGGGTGGTTGAAAGTCTAATGATTCCTTGGTTTTGTGCCGAGCAGCGTTGTCTTAGGTGCCTGTAGCTCAGAGACTTTGTTACATACAGGTAGAAGGGTCACGAACACTTACGGTGACTCTCATTGTCTGTCCAGTTTGAGTCTTTTCTTTTGAAGGTTTAGAAAGGTTTTCCAAATAAAGAAGGAATCATTTGTTTCGAAGATTTCTCGAGGGAAAGTTTACTCTAAACTGCGCTGATTCATGTTTGCCTCCCACCTTTACCTACTTTCTCTGAGAATCACATGGAATTGTGGTTTCCAGAGCTTAGGACAAGCTACAAACTTCCAGATTTCAAAGGGCCACACCCTTTTATGATTCTACAACATGCAAAAGCCTATAGAAGTTGAGGTTCCGCTTTCCATAGGCAATGGTGTCTCCACATGTTCCCGAACCTATGACAAGTTGTCCTTCATTTTTGTCCCTCCTCCCCACAACCTTCCCAGTCACAGCCACTGCCAAATTTTACTTAGCCAGGAAGCCTTAGTGCAACCACAAAGCTTGGTGATGAAGCCACTATATGATCATTTCTTTCTAAGTGGGGCTCGTTCCATTTTACTAACAGAGTCTAACTTATTCCTCAATCTGAAAGGTTTCATAGAACATAGAATATAGCTCTTAGGAAAGTTTATGGCTAAGTCCATTAAGACTCTGCAAAACTTAGCTTTCCTTCTGCCACTGGGCAAAGCCATGGAGAAACATCTGGCGTTCCTGTTTTCTTTTTAAGGAGTCACATGTTTTGTGATTTAGGTAAATTCCATTTACCTAATTTCATCACTTAGGTAAAAATGATTTAGGTAAACAGTGAAATCTCTACTGCCATTTTTGTTTGTTTTTTTCCCCAGATTCTGCTGGCAAAAGGGCCTGCTCATCAACACAAAGCTATCCTTCTACTGTGGTTTAGCTGCCAGGGGAGGAAAACATGGGAAAGGCCATTTGGACATAGTTGCTCTAAAGCAGCAGTTTTGAATGTGAATCTGTGCAACACACATTTCTGATCCTTACTCCATTCCTAAATACCCATTTTGAATGTTTTAATTTCCCTACTGCTTAAATATTTTAAAAACATACATTGTTTTCATCATCATACAAAACCCAGCAGTAATCTTAAAACTTCTGTTAGAACTCAGTTGGCATCTAAGCGTATATCACCTGTCTCTCCAAACTGTCATTATACATGAGTTTAGAAATATTAAGGATTACAGGATACTGAGAGAACTCTTAGAAAGTAAATGGATAATTTTATGAGCAATATGAAGTTGAGTTGCTTTGATTTTTGCCATCTCTGAGTTCATATGTACTATTTTAGCCTCAGAGAGTCAGGCCTGGAAATACTCCGTTTTGTTTTCCTGAGAGAGATAATAAATGAATAAACTGTTGGTGGGGAAGAAGCCCCACAGAGCTGAGAATAAAGAATTATCCTGCAGCTCAGACACACTCCCTACTGCCCGGGTTACGATATTTTACCCAGTGAAATATGGTTAGCAAAAGTATATAGTCCACCCAAAGAAAGGATGTCCATCCTCCAAATTTTTAAATGGAAAGCATAATTGGAGGTAAATGAGCTAGGTAATTAAAAGTTTAATTTCTTTGACAATTATTTGCAGCCTATCCAAATACATATGAATCTCAGACAATAGGCTGACACTTTTCTTAGATAGATTCCGGCTCATCTCTGAATTGAGCAAGTATCGTGACCTATGACTCTTGGTTATATATCATTTATGTGTCAGAGCCGTTCAGCCATGAGGGGTGGCTTAAACAGCTTAATCATATGAACGGAAAGTTCAAAGCCTTGTTTTTTAGGCTATGTCAAAATGGTCCCACGCCAGGATGTACCCCTGTCAAAATGGATGTGTCAAAATACCTACCACCCTAACACACGTTCAAGCTCAAAGAACTGTTAAGATAAGATGAACAAAGTACCTAGTGGCTTTAATAAAACATAGCCTTGAGTCATGGTCAGGAATCCCCCCGCTTTTCCATTCTTTTCTGGTTTGACTTTTATGGGCATACATGTTTGAGGAGAAACTCAATGTGCACACTGAGCCTCCTGGGAGAGCAACATAAAAATGGAGGTAAGGAAAGGAGACTACACACAATGCCAGTGAGGGAGCGTGGGTACGTGGCTAATGGCAATCCCATTTTCCCCTCTGAAGGCTAGTTGAATTGTAATCCTGAAGACTGGAGGAACAACACCCACTCTCTCAGCTTTCTAAAGTAGGTGACTCCTCTCTCCAGAATTCTATGGTAGGCCAGTACATTTTGTGCTCCCCTTCCCCTGCCACCTATCCTTAGAGGCAAGAGTTTTTTAAATGCTGTGGTAGTTTTCCCGCATTTACCTGCAAGACTGCATAAGACCAGAAAGGCTTTGAAAGAATCCAGCATCCTTTTTCTCCTTTAGGTAATCTAGCATTTTCTGCAAGGGAGACACGTTGTAAAGGGAAAAGTTATGACAACTATGCCACAGAGCTGACCCTCCGAATCCTGATGGAGAAATCTCCAGCCACACTGAGTTGGATCCTCTACATAGGGAGTCAGAGTCCCTTGGGGTAGATTATGTTTATTTTATAAAGGCCCACTGGCGTTTCTTCTAGGGAAGAAAAGACATTCATAGACCTACTGTTTGAGGTCCCTTCTATTTGGGAGCCAGCACCAAGGCCATGATACAGTAATGTATCATGAAGCTGAGTTATAATCTGAATAGCTCATGCTATGAATTTGGCACCCAGGAGCAAGGAGCTTAGCCAGTGAGGAGCCTCGCTGAAAGCTCAGTATTTCTTTCACAACGAGGCCTTGTTTCCTGTGTTCTCTCTTACTGGGAGGTAGGAACTTTGTCTGACATAATAAAAATTTTGTTTTTTAAAAAATAAACAAAAGGCACTGTAAGAAAGTCAACTGACAGCTAGTGGTAGGTGGTAGAAACAGAAAGTGAAGGATAACTTAGAAAATGACAGTTTTTAATGAAAAATTGGAGAAATTGTGGGGGGATGAGTTAAAGACTGGGCAAAGCTATATGCAACAATGGTAGTTGTGAATGTGAAGACTCTCACAGGCCCTGGGATATAACCCTCATGAATG